CAAGTATTTATTTGACTTTGAGATCTGTGCGTTTGACTAAGGTAGATTCTCCCCAATCCTCAGAGTTGTGAGTCACACCCTTTGCCAATTGTTTCTGGATAAGAAACTGCAGCTTGTCTGCTGAGTGATGAAGACTGTACATCTTTGTAATTATTCCAGCATTATTTTGATTTGTTTTGGTATATGAATGGTGCAATATGTGAAAAAGATCTGGCTTAAGAATGTTGTTCAGTGTTATCTTCATCTCCTAAGTCTGTATGGAATAAGCATCTTCACCTCTTTCCATTGATACACAGAATTATAAAGCATTTGAAGTCCAATTTTGTGTGTCCCGAGAGTAAGGGATGCTCTGTACCTTATAGGCGTGGCTCAGCGGTTTCTCTTGAATTGCTCAGTGTCTGAACTGCTGCTTGAGCAGTACTCAGGCATCAATATTTATTGTCTCACTTGCAACACAAGGTATTTTGAGGAGTACAGAAAAGGGAGAGAGATTGTGGGGGAACCTTTGGTTAACATCTCTTGAAAGTGAAAGTCCAAAAGCTTAGCACAAAATCAATTAAAACAACCTGTGACTTTTATTTTTGTCATATTAACAATGAGATGTTTTAGTTATTCCTGAAGATATTACATGATTGGATCCATTTAATTTCTTAATACTCTGCCTTTCAGATACAAATCGTTGTCCAGCACATAGTTGATTTTCAAAGCCTTTCCTTTGAAACATTCAGTTTTCTACTGACTTTGCTAGCTGCCACGGTCACCCCAGTGTTTGTTTTATCAGAACGCTGGATCCACCTGCCCTGTGGTTGCATCATTAACTGCAAGAGGAATGTATATGCTGTCTCTTCAGAAGAAAGCAAAAGTAAGTATGGGAAACAGGAAGAGAAGCTATCTCAAGTAATATGCTATATGGGAACACACTATTAAGAAATTTTGTAATAGTTTAGGAAGTAACTTGTTGGCACCAATATGCAATTCTCCTTTATACCTTTCATAGAAGGCTCTAAATGGTCTTCATAAATATTCATAAGCCTTTCAAAGCCCCATGAGATGAGTGGACAGTATTATTATTATTATGATTTATACTCTGGGGAATTGAGGCACAGAAAGCTTAAGTGACTTGTCCAGGATCATACAGCAAATCATTAGCAGAGTGTCTAGTAAAATCTAGGATTCCAACACCCAGCTCCCTCACCTTCACTTCTAGACACTGCTCCCT